CAGGCTCAGGCTCAGGCTCAGGCTTGGGGCTTAGGCTCAGGCTCAGGCTTAGGCTCAGGCTCAGGCTTAGGCTCAGGCTCAGGCTTAGGCTCAGGCTCAGGCTTAGGCTCAGGCTCAGGCTCAGGCTTAGGCTTAGGCTCAGGCTCAGGCTTAGGCTCAGGCTCAGGCTTAGGCTCAGGCTTAGGCTCAGGCCCAGGCTTGGCCAGGCCAGGCTAGGCACGGCTTGGCTGGCTCAGGCTTAGGCTCAGGCTCAGGCTTAGGCTCAGGCTCAGGCTTAGGCTCAGGCTTAGGCTCAGGCTCAGGCTTAGGCTCAGGCTTGGGCTCAGGCGTAGTTTCACTAGATAGATTTAATAGATTTTCATTTTTAAGCCTGAATATTAAATCTTAAACTTGATTGTTATTGATTTTATAGTGTTTTGAAGTTATTCAATCGTTTTTAAAGGTACTTTGGGGGGTACGCTAATTTACGCAAATTTGTTTGGTGCAACAGGGCCATTTGCGCAACTGGGTCGTTTACGCGACTCGCCATAACTTCCATTTAAGTGGACCAATCTTTATGATTTTGGTTTCATTTTGTTGCACTTATTGAGATCTACAAAATGAAACCAAAATCATAAAGATTGGTCCATTTAGAAGAAAGTTATGCTTTTCACCCTCAACCCTGAACACTCCGATATCAAAATGGGTCTGTTTTATCATTTCACAATAAAGATACCGTATTTTCTCTAATAGTAGTGCACGCAAGCGAGCCGAGTTGATGACTATTTTACGGTTTCCAAGTTCTTCACACAAGCTCAACACTCTATTCCCTCACTAGATCTCATCATCAGCTACATTTTCCAACACCACATCGATAGGTTTTGATAAGCGCTTCTCGAGATTTCGTGGAATTAAGGCAAAGCTTAAGATGCACTACTAGGTTTGTACGGTAGATTAGGTGCACTAGAAATCGTGTGTTTACAAGAGAGCAAAAAAAGTACATCGGTCTAATCACCAAAATACTTTATAGGCACCAAAATATTTAGGCAGAAAGATTCCGAATACCCAAAAAGATATTCAGCTATTAATAATACATCATTTTTTTAATAATACATCATACAAAATTCCGATAGCAAAAGAATACTGTAACAGTTTTTTTTCGCTTATTCCCATAACAAAATTTGTTGAATGAGGGAAAAATTTAGAATTTAGAATTTAGAACTTTTAGAATAATTGATAGGGAACTGCTAGAATAATTGATGAGATTGGCTAGGGAACTGTTAGAATAATTGATTAGATTGACTAGGGAACTAAGAAAAAGATATAGGGATAAAGAGAAAATTTAAAAAAAATAAAAAAAACAACCTTGAAAATTAAAAATATTTAATTAAACGGAAAAGGGTTAGAAAAATTAATTTTAAAGAGAGAAGGAACTTTTAAAAATTTTTTAAAAAAAAAAAAGAAACTTTTAGAATAATTGATTAGACTGACTAGGGAACTGTTTCAATTACTTTAATTTCAATTTCAAATTACCATCGATTTTTGAAATCCGATCTAGCTAGAAATCTAGCTAGATCTAGCCGCCCGTAAAATTCTAAGAAACACTTTTTTTCATGTCCAAAGTGTCGTCAATTTTTAGCAAACCGCGAACCGTACCTTTAAGAGGGTGAAAGGGTGTAAAAATAGCTAATTACCGCTAATCAATAAAGAAGTGCTTTCCAAAAAGGTTTCTAAAAATATCGGGATTTTTTTTCGGGTGAATAAACAAGTTTTACCGCTGAAATAATGTGATTGAAAGAGAATGAAAAAAGAAAATTTTAGAAAAAGTAAATCATTCTTGGCTACAAATAAGAGAAAAATGAAAAGATTAAGCGAATTTGATTGTTTTTCCAAGAAATTCGATTGCATAGGAAAAATTGACGATTTGCAAAGCGAAAACAACAAACTTTTGTTTGTTTTTAAGTTAAGAAGTCTAGTTTTTAAAGTTTAAGGGTTAAAGAATGCTATAAAGAAGATATTAAGAGATTAATAAGCCAAGAAAACAGATAGAACTTTGAGCAAATTGTTTTTTCGCATTGATCTCATCAAAAACTTTTCAGTAAATTAGTTTTCAATTGAAAAAAACCTATTCATTCTACTCAAAAAAACATCAATTCAATGATTAATCAAAGAAAATGTAAAAAAGGAAAAAGCGGATGGAATTCTAAATGAATCTAATCAAATGTAGTGTTCGGATGGGTTTTTTTGGGGAAAAGAAATGGATGCAATTACCCTTTCCTTTCACCGTTTTCCCTATCTCTTTCCCATTTTCCATTTCAATGAGTTTTCCAGCTTTAAGCCTTATTTAAGATTAAAAATTAGTCAAAGATTGGCTTAGAATCAGAAAAATTAAAGCAATTATAGCAGAAAAGGAACCAAATTTGTAGAGAAGAGAACCAAATCTGTAGAGAAGAGAAAAGGAATCAAATCTGTAGAGAAGAAGAACCAAATCTGTAGAGAAAAGGAACCAAATCTGTGGAGGAGAAGAACCAAATCTGTAGAGAAGAAGAACCAAATCTGTAGAGAAGAGAACCAAATCTGTGGAGAAAAGGCAATAAATCGGAAAAGGATTCTATAGAATAGAATTCTCTGGATTCTCTAGCTTCTATAGAGAATAGAAGCTAGAGAGAAATTGAAATAAATGAGAATAGAAGCTAGAGCCTCAGAACCAGCCTAGAATTCAGTCCAGTCTAAAGCTGGACGTTTTGGGAATCAAAAAAATAGGCCGTGCCGGGATTCGAACTCTGTTCAGCCGGCCAAACGCCTGCCAATGAGCTACATTGACGAGGAATTCTTGCCACCATAATAGGAAAAGGCAATAGAAAAGGAAAAGGAACCAAATGTATAGAGAAAATGAAAGAAATTACTAAAATCTCGGTTAACTATAGGACTTTTATGTACTTTTTTCTCTAGAAACACACCATTTCTGACTCTAGAAGCAATGCTTTAATCTATAAGAAAACAAAAAACAACTTTCACTGTTCCGGGAAGGTTTTTTTCTATTATTTGGCTTAGAAAAAAGCCCGAATTAGTCGATTTCACCAAAAGTGATCGGCTAAATCGATTAAATCGGCTCCTAAGAGTATGTTTAGAGCTTTAAACTCAAATATAATATAGTTTTTACATTTTTCTTTAGAAATAGTTAGAGTTTGAGCCTAAAATATAGACAATTTCATTGAAAATTTTAGCAATATCGTCAAAAAAACAAAATTTTAGCACTATTTTGTCAAAAGAAATTGTTTTAAGGCAACGAGTTGTTCTTTGAGTTGAGATTGTTTGAAATTTGAAATTGATTCAATGAATTTCATTGAAATTTTTGCATTTTTCGTATTAGAGAACTAATTTTAGACCAAAATCAGTTAAATTGTTGGGTTTTCAAGAAAATAAACTGAATATCTTTCAATTTTTAACCAAAAAGATATTGAAAAGAGCGTCAGTTTTCATTTTAAACTTCAAAAACTAGCTTTGAATTGAAACTACAATGATATGAAGCGCGAAATATGTAAATTCACTCTTCAATTACTCAAAGACCGTTGGTTCAATGGATTTGCTAAAAACTAGACCTGTTTAACCTGTCTGGTCAAAATTTTCAGACAGTCCGCTTCGCGCTTTGATTTTTTACTTCCCAAAGCTCCTTCCAGCATGAAACCCAGTTCCCCCGCAAGCCCTTATTCTAAGCTTCATTTTGATACTAAGCATGCCTAAGTTCTGTTTTGCCATTCTTTAGATTTCGATCATTTTCGATAAATATTTCTGGACTCCTTTAGCTTATCGAGTCCAGCGAAAGATTGATTGAAATCTAAAGAATGGCAAAACAGAACCTAGGCATGTTTAGTATCAAAATGAAGCTTAGAATAAGGGCTTGCGGGAGGACTGGGTTTCATGCTTGAAAGAGCTTTTGGTAGGAAAAAAAAAGTAAAAAACAAGGCAGACTGTCTGAAAATTTTCAACTCAAATAAACATAAACCCGATGATTAATCAAAGAAAATGTAAAAAAGGAAAAAGCGGACTCGTTAAGCAGGTCTACTAAAAACTGTTTATCCAAGTGATTCTCTGAAAAAGAAAGATCTCTTTTTGCTTAGAAATTCTGAATCAAAGCTTATCCATTTTAAGACAAAGAACACATCAAATTTTGCCCTTGATTTTTGTTGTTTTCCCAGAAAATCTCGTTTATCCTTTAATCTTTAAGAGATCTTTAGTTCTTTTACGTCATTTATCATACATTTTCGAAAAGAATTCGATTCAAAATCGATTCAGAAATGTTGGCAAGAAATTCTTCAATTTAAAATGAAACATTTAAATCTATAGACTTTTTCTTGGCTCTGTACTTTGTCCAAATTTATCTAAACCCATCTTTTCTAGCGTATTCGACTCTTTCTTCTTTCGATAATTGTTGAAAATAGGAATAAAATATAAAAAATAGACCTGCTTAACCTGTCCGGTCAAAATTTTCAGTCAGTCTCCCTCGCTCTTTGATTTTTTTACTTCCCAAAGCTCCTTCGAGCATGAAACCCAGTTCTCCCGCAAGCCCTTATTCTAAGCTTCATTTTGATACTAAACATGCCTAGGTTCTGTTTTGCCATTCTTTAGATTTCAATCGATCTTTCGCTGGACTCGATAAGCTTAAGGAGTCCAGAAATGTTTTTATCTAAAATGATCGAAATCTAAAGAATGGCAAAATAGAACTTAGGCATGTTCTTTAAAAGATCTTTAGTTCTTTTACGTCATTTATCATACATTTTCGAAAAGAATTCGATTCAAAATCGACTCAGAAATGTTGACTAGAAATTCTTCAATTTAAAATGAAACATTTAAATCTATAGACTTTTTCTTGGCTCTGTACTTTGTCCAAATTTATCTAAACCCATCTTTTCTAGCGTATTCGACTCTTCCTTCTTTCAAGAATTGTTGAAAATAGGGAATTGAGTGCGCTAGGAAAGGTGGGTTTTGAATTTTAGCATACAAATTCCTGCTTTCCCTACCTTTTGCATTTTTGATGACTTCAACGCCATCACAATTAACTGTTGATAGTTGAATGGAGGACGCTGAGGAAAGATTTTGTAATCGATTTGAGTTTGGAGGAGAGCTGTCTGAAACTGAAAATCTATTATATATAAAAGAGAAGTTTCCGTCCGTGAGTCCATCCGTCACACGCTGGATCTCGGCTCCCCGTGAACCGATTTCAATAAACTTTTTTTTAATCGATAGGGAATTAAAAATGAATAGATACTTCCTTTTTGGTCAAAACAGGTTTTTCATCAAAAACCCGTAAAAAATTGGAAAAACTTAGCTACGCCCTTTTTTAGCCTCGACAACCCATGGGAGGCATGGTCGAGGCGGTTAGCGTCCCGTTTACAAAACGACTTCCCTGGGGAGGTGTCAGGTTCGATTCCTGTCCGTTCCAAACTTTTTTGATTTAAATGTTTTTGGAGTTGAAAACCCGAAAAAAACGAAAAACATGCAGCCAGAAATTGTTGTCGATTGGTTATTTAAAAGAGAAGTGTTTGTCCGTCTGTCCGTTTGTAAGCGCGAGTTCTCAGCTCCCGCTGGACCGATTTCTATCATTTTTAGTTTCTTAGACTTAGAATTCTAAATAGTTGTGCTTTTCATCTTTCGTTTTTCTAAAAAACAAAAGTCATGACACAGCCGAGAGTCGAACCCGAATCGTGTGGACCGTAGCGCGCTGCCGATTGCGCCATGGCCAACACAAGCGCGCTGCCGATTGCGCCACGGTCAAAACAAGTGCGCTGCCGATTGCGCCACGGCCAAAACGCTTCATCCAGCCCAAAAAGTCATGACACTGCCGGGAGTCGAACCCGAATCGTGTGGACCGTAGCGCGCTGCCGATTGCGTCACGGCCAAAACGCTTCATCCAGCCCAAAAAGAGCCAGTTTTTTCAGCTTTTAGCTGCCAATGTCCTAAGTTTACAAGTAAATCACTAAAAGCATTGAAATGACATTCACACACATAAATCGTTAACACCAACCTTCAATCCATCTTCCGGCGTGTGCGGTGGCGTCAACATCACTGAATTACCATTTGTGCCAATGAATTTTGACCTTTCGATAGATTTCCCATTTGAAAACAAGAGAATCGAAGAATTCGTCAAATTTCGATGATTCTCTTGATGATCTTGAGTCTTTTTTGGCAGCTGAAAGAAATTCATTAATTTCAGAAACCTTTCTAAATTCATTTCATTCATTTCATTTGTGAATTCTTATGAATTGTAAATTTTACTTGATTATTGCTTGTTGATGGAAGACAATTCAATGTTTCATCATTTGGTAAAGAGAATGATGGAAGAATCGGCTTCAAATTGAGAAACCAATCGGTCGATGGAAGCGATGGAGTGGGCAATTTGTTTGATGATCTCATTGCAGATCACCAAACTATCTGATATCAAAATATCTGAGATTTTAACACCAAATCATATCTGAAAAGAATTTCTAGCTTTTATATAGAGAACTTTGGCACAATTAAGAATTTCAGGACAAGCAATCGCTCCCGGAAATTGGTTGATTCCGATTTCAATAGTTTCCATAGAGTTTCCTCCGAAATTCTTGTTTATATTGAAATTATAGAAGTTCTATTTGTAAAAATACATTCTTCAATGTATTAATAACAAGATTTTCCTTGATTTTGCTTGTTTATTAGAAAAAAAATAAGTAATGATAGCGGAAAAGCCAAGATTTCCGTGTTTTTGGGAAAATCGCTAAAGCTTTGTCCAGAAGCACCCAATCAATTTACACTCAAAGAAGAAAATTAAGCAAAATCTTCAGGCTACATTATGGCTGCAATGAATTGAAGATTTTAAGCTTGTGGAGAGAGCTAAAGGGGTTCGAATTTCGGTTGTTACGATTGTTTTTTGTTTCTTTGTTTGTTTTTTTTGCGTCTCTGCCCAGCTTTGATCCCCTTAAGCTCACTCCACAAGCTTCAAATCTTCAATTCATTGCAGCCATAATGTAGCCTGAAGATTTTGCTTAATTTTCTTCTTTGAGTGTAAATTGATTGGGTGCTTCTGGACAAAGCTCTAGCGATTCTCCGGCTACGGGCTTGGTTCTGGCACAAATGTATAGTTAAATCAGAAGGAAATTGGTGATTTAGCTATTTAATTTTAACTCCAAAATAACAAAAAAACATTGAAAAATAGATCAAAAACTATTAGAAATCGTTTGAAATATTCAGAATATAATAGAACTTGACTTGAGCAAGTAACTGATTTGAAATAATCTGAAATGGCTTGGCTCTAGCTCTGAAATGAATTTTCTTATGATTAAAATGAGTAAAATGCTTGAAATATCAAATATTCAAATGTAAACTAGTAACTTGAGTAGTTTAGAGTTAAAAAACGAGCTAAAACACTCTTGCTATGGTCATTAAACGATTCATAAGCACATTTTAACAATCACAAAACATAAAGCAAAGATTTTTGATCTTATAATTATGATTAAATTCTTTAAACAATCTAAAATCAAACTTAAGAATCATAAAATCGATCACTCATAAAGAAAAGATCGAAAGAAAGACGAAATCCTTGCACTAAATATCATAATTGTGTGTAAATATGGTTTGCGAAAGCAAAAGCAATCAGCTCGTGTTGGCCACTAATCATTTTCTCTTCTTTTTCCCTCAGAAAATGGTCAAAAGTACTAACTAGTCATAAGCTGGGAAATGAGAAGTCTTTTAGATGAAGGGAAACCGTATAAAAGAGGAAAATGGGGGCACCTGTCCCCATTGCTTACTAATTATCTTACCACTGAAAACCGGGGAAAGAGCTCGATTTCATCTTTATTTCAACTATTCCATAATGAACAAACAATTTGTACACTTTTCATTCCTAAGTCATGAGTTTAATTGATCAAGAATAGATTTTGATTCGAAAATTGATCACTTCTGTACCTATTTTCAGGTTTAAAATGGTTCAGTTTCAGGTTTAAGATGGTTTTGAGAATTCTAGAAATATTAGGTTGATGCAAAAGTCTTTTTCATTTTTTTCCTGAAAAAATAGTAGTGCACCCTCGAAAATTTGAATTTCTGGCGCTTCTTTTTCGTCTAAACCTTTTTGACTTTATGCTTATGTGACATTCTAAAGCTATTCAAGCAAGCAAAAGTGAGGCTTTTTTATTCATTTATTAACTATTAGGTTGATGCAAAAGTCTTTTTCATTTTTTTCGTACTTCCGTTAAAAAGTAACAAATGCACCAATTGAACAACGGTTTATTGCATTCGAAAGGCCAATTATTTTTCTGCAAAATGACATTAAAACGAGTTTAAAATGTCTTATGTCTAGATTTTTTTGAGAGCCTGAAGTCGGGTAGTCAAAAAAGGCGACGGCTCGATGATGCATTTTAGACGCTTTAGCTAAGGAAACCAATCTTGATGTTAATAAATAAAAGATAGAGCACAAAAAGTTAGATATTTTTTCAGATTTTCAGAGAAATTGATTCAGCCAATTTCTTTATAGAGGTTTTTATAGATTTTTATGAAAAACCCGTTTTCACTCTCGAATTTGCTTGAAAGTGAACCCAAATTGACTTAAAAAGATGGGAAATTCAACAATAAACACTTTTCATTTAGAGCAAACCATAGGTTAATTGATGACTTTGTTATTTTTCAAAAGAAGTACGAAAAAAATGAAAAAGACTTTTGCATCAACCTAATAGATACCAAATAGAAATCGAAGCATTTCTTTAATTAACAATGAGAAAATGATGTTGACTTTATAAAATGAAGAAAATATCTATGGAAAACTGAAAAACTGGAAAACTATCTATGAAAAACTAAAAAATTATGGGCCTTCTGGTAATGTAGTTGTTAAAGGACTAATTTAATTCAAAAGTACCGTGCTATATAGACGATTAAAGCTCTGAATCTTGACTACATTTACCGCGAAACTTACAAATTATAAAATTCGATTCAACTACGAAGCTAGCAAATGAGCTCTAGCACATTTGTACACTTTTCATTCCTAAGTCATGAGTCTAATTGATCAGGAAATAGATTTTGATTCGAAAATTGATCACTTCTGTACCTATTTTCAGGTTTAAAATGGTTCAGGTTCAGGTTTAAAATGGTTTTGCGAATTCTAGAAATAGATACCAAATAGAAATCGAAGCTTTTCTTTCGGTGACAATGAGAAAATGATGTTGACTTGATAAAATGAAGAAAGTATCTATGGAAAACGATCTATGGAGAACTAAAACTGGAAAACTATCTATGGAAAACTAAAAAATGATGGACCTTCTGGTAATGTAGTTGTTAAAGGACTAATTTAATTCAAAAGTACCGTGCTATATAGAGAATTAAAGCCCTGAATCTTGGCTACATTTATCTACCGCGAAACAAATCTAGTTCTAGTTCTAGTTACTTACTTTAACTTTTACAGAAAATTTGGTCTTAATTTTTACTCATATCTTTGCACAGAAACTATTTGCTGTTTTCCACACTGAAACGTTCGATTGTCCCTTCTTTCATTTCCCTCTAGTTTGCTCAAATCGTACTAATCATTGTTCAAACCTATTCATATCCAATAACAGAACAGGTGATTTGTCTAGATTTCTCACCGTTACTTCATTATTCAAGTTTCGAACAGACTTTTACTTTACAGTTGTATTATACATCAATTTTGTTATTTCTCATCATTCCAGCTACTTACTTTTCTCTATTTACTTGCTTTAAGTAGATAAGAAAGCTTGGAAAAGCTATTACCCTCCCCTCCCCTCCCCTTTAAGGTCGAGAAGTGAGCAAGTACAGCAATCGAATGAACGCAAGACAAAATGCAAATGCAAATCCATATCCAAATAAGAAACATGTCTAGTATTGAATATAAAACTCAATCAACGATTTTGCAAGTCTAGATTGATACAGAAATAACTCCAGAATCTCTGGCTGGTTATTTTCGATTTTGCAACTCTTCTAATGAGTTTCGTTGTGTGTTTGAAGATCTTCAACGCTTTAGTGGATCTTCAACCTCTTTAATGGTATAGCTTTAAGATGAAATTGTAAAATTTTATATCGCTAGCTTTCCTCTAATCCCTTTTTCTTGAAAATAGAATTTTTCTATGACTTTCCAATCTGTAAATCCAAATTTAAACTCGATTAAAATATTCTTGTTGTGTTAGCTCATTTTGCTAGCTCATAAAAGTCATTTTAAAGTCAAGAATCTGTTAAAAATTCGTTAAAAATAGCAGCAGTCCAAAGAAAAGCTGGCTAGAGTTCATTTGCTAGCTTTGTAGTTGAATCGAATTTTATAATTTGTAAGTTTCGCGGTAGATAAATGTAGCCAAGATTCAGGGCTTTAATTCTCTATATAGCACGGTAGTTTTGAATTAAATTAGTCCTTTAACAACTCCATTACCAGAAGGTCCATAATTTTTAGTTTTCCATAGATAGTTTTCCAGTTTTTTAGTTCTCCATAGATAATTTCTTCATTTTATCAACTCAACATCATTTTCTCATTGTTAATTAAAGAAAAGCTTCGATTTCTATTTGGTATCTATTTCTAGAATTCGCAAAACCATTTTAAACCTGAACCTGAACCATTTTAAACCTGAAAATAGGTACAGAAGTGATCAATTTTCGAATCAAAATCTATTTCCTGATCAATTAGACTCATGACTTAGGAATGAAAAGTGTACAAATGTGCTAGAGCTCATTTGCTAGCTTCGTAGTTGAATCGAATTTTATAATTTGCAAGTTTCGCGGTAAATGTAGTCAAGATTGAGAGCTTTAATCGTCTATATAGCACGGTACTTTGAATTAAATTAGTCCTTTAACAACTACATTACCAGAAGGTCCATCATTTTTTAGTTTTCCATAGATAGTTTTCCAGTTTTTTAGCTTTCCATAGATAGTTTTCTAAAAGTAAAAGTAAGTAAAAGCTATTAAATTCACAAGTATCAAGATTTTAAACATAAATATTAGAGATATTTAAACAATATTAGAGAATCCGTGATGAATCAAATTTTATTTTAAAGATTTTCAGTTTATTTTCTTAAAATCCCAACAATTCAACTGATTTTTGATAAAATTAAGCATATTTTGGGTGCTAAAATGCTAAAATTAGACAAATTAAGCATCTTCCAATAAGATAAGTAAAAGAATTTCGACATAAAAAGATACATGCGAGGATTTAAATTATTTTCCTTTATTTTCTGCTTATATTTAGATGCTCAGAGCTATTTGAGAAGAAAAGATGACTCTAAAGTTATCCAAATTAAACTTTCATCGATGTATTGGACAATAGGAATAACGAAATTGAAAGTAAACAAGAGAGAAAGAAAAAAAACTAAGAAACTAAGAAACTAAGAAACTAAAAAACTAAGAAACTAAGAAACTAAGAAACTAAAAAACTAAGAAACTAAGAAACTAAGAAACTAAAAAACTAAGAAAACTGTTTCAATATCATAAAGTAATCTTTCAAATCACTTGAGGGTAACTTAAGATCAAAAATGTAGCCAAGTGAGGGTGGGAATGGGGTTGAAGGGATCCGGGAGGGCGGCTGGCACCACCCGGCTGGTCTCCTCCATAAGAGAACCCTATAAGGACAGGTGCTTCTTTTCACATGCAACCCTCTTTTCTCAATCCATTCCACCTTCCATTCCACCTTGAAAGAGCACCCGTAAATGTCCAATCCCTTTCCCTTCTTACCCCCCTTTTTCCTCAGTCTTTTCATGAGTGACCATAGTCTCCTCTTTTCACCGCACTGGACTACTAATTGCCTTCTCGTGTCCACTGGAACACCTTAAAGGGTTGACGGGGATTGACTTGACACTAAGCTAAAGATATAGGCAGATATCTATTAGATGAAACTTCCGTCAAAGTTGTTCGTTTATATTTTGGATCTAATAAAAGTTTTTATTGAATATATCTATCTGGAAGAGCGTCTATCTGGAAGAGTGTTTCTTTACGCGTCTTTTGATCTCTAGAACTCATGCGTTTTAATTAATTTGAAGTCATTTTTAGCTTCTAGAAAATGGTTGACCAAAAATTTCGAGATCAAAATTGCTTTGAACGCAATTGGTAAGACGAATCGGTGTGGAAAATGGGTGCCAAATCAGCTCAGCGACACAAACAAGGTGGCTCGAGTTACAATGGATGGAATTCTCGTCCGCCGCGCAAAGACCGCCGGTTTTCTCGACTCCATTGTTACGTCAGATGAAAAGTGGATATGTTACGATAACACAACGAGAAAATGGCAGTGGTTCGACGCCGGTGAACCGCCAAAACCGACTCCAAAACCGAATATCCACGGAAAAAAAGGTGATGCTTTGTATTTGGTGGAACAGTAAAGGTCTCGTGTATTTTGAGGTGCTGGATTCGGGCCAAAGAGTCACGGCGGATCTCTACAAAGTCTAATTGAGCCGCGTGGACCAGGCATTGCGTCGTCAAGGTAAAACACGGCGACTACAAAAATTCCTCCAAGACAACGCTCGATCGCACACCGCGAAGATCACTCAGCAGAAAATCGAGGAATTTGGCTGGGAAGTTCTCCCTCATCCGCCATATAGCCCGGACTTGGCCCCATACCACTTGTTTTGGTCGATGCAGCACTCTTTAGCAGAAAAAAAATTCAAAAACCGCGAAGAAGTTGAAATCTGGGTGTCCAACTTCTTCGAGTCGCAGTTGCCCGAGTTCTTCGAAAAGGGCATCCATTCTCTGCGTGAAAGATGGCAAAGAGTCATTGATAATGATGGCGAATATCTTTTGGATTGAGGTTCTGTATTAGGATTTTTATAATAAATTTTGTTTATGTCCAAAGGGACGTTTCATCTGCACCAATCGAATAATTCAAAATCTAAATATAATGGTCTTTAAATGGTTTATAATGGTCCAAATCTAAATATAATCGTCTTTAAATCTTTGAGATGATAAACTAGCTTTGTTGTTAGCCAGAAACGAAAACGAAAACCTTCTTAGAAACGAAAGCCAAGTCAATCGTTGGCTTTTCATTTGGTTAACGGGGTAAAGATTCTTTGTAATATCAAATTTTAATTTCAAAGGATTTGAGTGAAATCTTTTCAATCAAATTTGCTTTATCAAAAGGAGGATGTCAAATGAAATCGACAACCACGACAATAACAACAGCAGCGACAACGACAACAACTACAGGGCGCGTGAAAGTTATTGGATCCAAATAGAAACCGTATTGGAACCGTATTGGAACCGTATTGGAACTGTATTAGATCAAAATAGGAACCGTATTGAAACCGTATAAGATATTTTCAAATTATTGACCGCCCCTATAAGTCTTGTAATTTCCTTCAAAACTTGTCCACAAAGCGAAATTTTATTGTAAAACATTCGGAAATAATGAAAATAATCCAGAAAAGCAAAAAAAAGTTAATAAAACTGGATGCACTCGTGAAGTCTACTTAGAAAAAGCAGACCGTGCGCTGCAGGCAACCTTTATGAAAATCTCCTCAAGCTTTTGATTAAAGCTGCTTTGGAAATCACTCCAAATCTTGATTTGAGTGATATTTTAATTAAAAAAGGTCATCCTTGGCCTAATTTTTTGAAAAGATTCACATTTAGGGATCAATTCATACGGCTTCCATTAGGAATCCGGCTTCCGGTGTCAATAATTTTCACGGAATTCGGCTTCCGGCTTCCAACACTCGCTCATACCGCTTCGACTCTTGGACTCTTGGACGCGAGGGCAATCTGTTCAATTATTTTAACGTTTGGAGTTGTTGTTGTAGTTGTTGTTTTATAGGACGCGTAAAAATTATTGACCGCCTCCATAAGCCTTGTTATTTTCTTGAAAACTTGTTCACAAAGATAAAAATAGTTCTTGAACAGTTTTTGATTTTAACATTCACATTTAGAGGTCAATCTATATTTTTCCATTAGGAATCCAGCTGCCGGTGTCAATAATTTTCACGGAATTCGGCTTCCGGCTTCCAACACTCGCTCATACCGCTTCGACTCTTGGACTCTTGGACGCGAGGGCAAGCTATTCAATTTTGTAACCTCTTTAGAAGCCTGATTTTTCTAAATTAAAAAAAAGGAACTATTAAAACTGTTATAGAACTATCTTTCATCTTTGTGGACAAGTTTTTGAAGAAAATTACTAGGTTGGCGACATTGAAATTTCGTTGAAAATTGACGTTGCGTTTCTCTTGATAGATTTTAACACTGTGGATACTATTACCGCCGCAATCTCTTCTGTTTTAAAGATATAATTATTGTGCTTTATTACGCGTCTTTTCTTTATTTCCAGTTGAAGAATTTTAATAAAAAAATCTTTTAGATGCTAGACGACCTCAAATATCGACTTCGCATTTGTATGCTGTACGATTTCAAACAAGAAAAAAAGAAAAACAGCAACTGAATCGCATGAATCACTTTGTAACGTATTTGGGAAAGATGTTATCACTGTTCATCAATGTCAAAACTGGTTCAAAAGATTTCGAAAGGTCGACGGAAGAGTGGAAGATCTGGAACAAGGACACCGCTTACAGGATGTGGCAAACAACGATTTAAAGCAGACAATCGAAAATGGACCTCTGCTTTCTTTCAAGACAATGCCCGTCCTCACGTTGCCAAAATTACTCAAGAGAAGATTGAGCAATTGGGCTGAGAACTTCTAGTTCATCCGCCTTATAGTCCAGATATTGCCCCGTCTGACTACCATTTCTTTCGAAGTATGCGCCATTCACTCGAAAGCCCCAAGTTCCAGAACATTGACGACATCAAAAAATGGGTCTCTGCTTTCTTTCAAGAGAGTATCCATAATTTGCGTCAAACATAGAAAAATGTTATTGATAGCTGTGGGGAATATATTGTTGATTAATTGTTTCTAGTTTATTTTTACGAATAAATTTTGTTGTTGCTCAAAAAAGGAAATTTTAATATCGCCAACGTAATACAAGGCTTAGAGGGGCGGTCAATAATTTTCACGCGTCCTATAGAACCACAACAACAACTACTACAACTACTACTACTACAACTACTACAACAACAACAACTACAACAACTACAACAACTACAACAACAACTACAACAACAACTACAACTACAACTACAACAACAACTACTACAACTACAACAACAACTACAACTACAACTACAACAACAACTACTACAACTACAACAACAACTACAACTACAACTACAACAACAACAACAACAACAACAACAACAACAACAACAACAACTACGACAACTACAACAACAACAACAACTACAACTACAACAACAACAACAACTACTACTACAACAACTACAACAACAACTACAACAATAACTCCAAACGTTAAAAGAATAAGAACAGTCCCAGCAATCGATGAGCAGATTGAAAGTTCAACACCTCTATTCACTGATTGACACAACAAAGCTCAAAAATCGATCAATAAACTCTTTTTTAGATATTTTATTTCAAACTAGGCTTTCTCAAAGCCTAAATTTCATTCGCAACAAAATTTGTCAATGTTAAGCAATTTTTTCGAAAGCTTATTATCAATTTTCCAATGTAAAACCAAAATGCCACGAGGCAAAACCAAAAAACAAACAAAACGGAGTCATCGTTTTGTTTGAGAAATGATTAGAGAATTGTGCTTAAGCCAAAAATAAAGTGAAACAAAGGGATAATAGCGTTTAGTGATTTGGGTACGAAAAAACATCTCTATATTAGTCAATAGTTAGTCACTAAATAGCTGAAATTTAGCTGAATACAGGGTGCGTCATAATTATTGCAACAAGATACTCAAGGCATTGCACACCAAGAAGTTTCACTGGAAGAAGATTTTTAAACAGAAATAGCTTTATTTAACAGTAACAAATAAGGAAACAAGAGATCATTCGATATGACCGCCTTTTGCCTTGATAACAGCCCTTAATCGGTTCGGATATGCCTCCACTGTGGCCCGAATGTCATCTTGAGGAGTCGCCTTTCCATCCTTTGGTCAAAGACCTTGATAACAGCCCTTAATCGGTTCAAACAATCCAAACTTGTGTGTTTTCGAGAGCAGACATTAGCCTCTAAGATTACCCAAATGGAAAAGTCCATCACATTGAGATCCGGTGAGTTTGGAGGCCATTCATCCTTGGTGATCACTGAGGGAAAGTTGGCCACACACCAGTCCTGAACCGTCAAGAATAAAGGCAATTAGGCAGCGGGAGGCAATTAGGCAAGAATAAAGAATATAGAACGCAACACAACAAAAAAGGGGGCAAAAAAAATAAGAAAGCTGTTTGGAAAACGGTCTTTGAACTCTTGTTGCAATAATTATGACGCACCCTGTAGACTAAACTTTTGGTGAGTCAAGTTGGGATTATTTTTTTGCCTTATATTTGAGCGTTTTTCTTGCTTCATTCTCCCAGAATTGACGACGAATTTTTTGAGCACAAAGAACACTCAAAGACGAAGTCCAGTAATCAATTAAATATTCAGATTCGATCAACTTTTCAGAGCTCATCGATCCAGTCTCATCTCTATCATAAAATCGTCCTCTTTTCTCATCGCCAGGTATCGGATCAAGTCGAAATTTCCCTTAAAACCTATCTTTTCTCAATTTCCATTGATTTATTCTTTTGATCTGGTGAGAATTTTGCTTTAAATCATCGTTTTTCGAAATATTTCCATCTTGTAAAGTTGTTTTTTAAAGTTGCTAAAGGTTTAAAGTTTAAAAACTAAGCGTAAACAAATCAAATTCATCGTAAACATTTAAATCTTAACTTCGACGGAAGTTTCATCTGCACTAACCTAATAGATATCTGCCTATATCTTTAGCTTAGTGTCAAGTCAATCCCCGTCAACCCTTTAAGGTGTTCCAGTGGACACGAGAAGGCAATTAGTAGTCCAGTGCGGTGAAAAGAGGAGACTATGGTAGTCATTTTAGTCATTTAGTAGTCATTTTCGTATCTCTGAAAAGGATTTTCATTTGTAGAAGATTTAAGGTGAAGATTGAAGATTGAAAGGTAGTTGAAGGCAAGCTTTTAAACGATTTGTCTTCGGCATTCGATTCGATTGGCATTAGATTCGATTGGCATTCGATTGGCATTCGATTCGATTGGCATTCGCATTCGATTCGCATTCGCATTCGATTGGTATTCGATTGGCGTTCAACTGGCATTCGATTGGCATTCGATTCGCATTCGATTCGCATTCGTTTGGCATTCGTTTGGCATTCGTTTGGCATTCGTTTGGCATTCGTTTGGCATTCGTTTGGCATTCGTTTGGCATTCGTTTGGCATTCGATTCGCATTCGATTCGCATTCGATTCGCATTCGATTCGCATTCGATTCGCATTCGATTCGCATTCGATTGGCAATCGTTTGGCATTAGACTCGATTGGCATTCGATTCGCATTCGATTCACTCCTTTCAAATCTTCAAACCTGTTAAGTAATCCTGGAAATGCTTTGAATTGCTAAAAATCTACGAGTAATCTAATCTGAATTGCTAAAAATCTGATTTCATTTCTGTTTACTAGAATAATTCTCGATTTCTACTTGTTTATTTCAAAAAAAAATGAACTAATATTTTCTCCAGAAGACCAAAAACGATGACACTTCATCTCATTAGTCATTTTTTGGTTCTAGTACAGCAGAAAAGAGATTCTAATGCTTAAAAAGAATAGATAAGAGTTCATAAAGGCTAAAGAAAAGTGAGCTATCGCTTTGTGAGTAAAAGTTCCGGTGATTGAAGAAGGGAAAAGGCAGGGGGAAATCAGTGTGAAAACAAGGCACACTTCAGTCTTCAAAAATGAGAAAATTCATGAACTTCTCTACGATTTTTCTTCTATTACTAACTATTGTTCTTGGGAAAGCGTTTAAATTGGATAAGGTGAGGAAAATCTTTTCAAATTTTGATATAAATTGATTTCTTAGAAAAAGCTGGCCGGATCGGCTTCGAAAAAAGCACTCAAAACAGTGATTGAGAACAGTCTTCCAGAATTAAATGCACCAGAAAAGGTGGGTTTTCATCAAATGAGCAAATTCTACAGCTAAGCCAAGCCAATTCGGAACCTGGATTCTATTCCAGCTTCCAGAAAAAATTTCTAGAACCGAGCCTATCCAAATTCCTTGGTTTTTCTTTTTTTTTTGGTTTAACTTGAGCCTAGAATTGATTAGAATGAATTGACTAGAATTCAAGAAGCTAGAAATTATTCCCGTGCTAGCCCAGGGTCAGGTTTTGCTGCAAGTTTAGCCTCCTGAAGCCAAATATCGTTACAATTAAAGGAGCTGGCTTAACTCACTAATGAACGGTCAGTTTTCGCTGACAACTATGACGCTATATGACGCTAATCCAAACCAAAACTATATGATCTACCCAAGCCGGACACGGGCAACACGATGGCGTTTTTCGTTTTTGCGTAAACGCTTTAGATTTCTGTAAAAACGCAGTTGAAATTTGACCCCTTAAAGCGATTTAATCCCCGTTGACTCCCCTTCCTCCCCCGAGCGACTGTTTGTAAGGGCTATCCTCGCTTCCCAAGCAAGTGAATCTGTGGCTCAGTGGTAGTGCTCTCGCTTCCCATTCTGACCGGGTCATCCGGGTTCGATCCCCTAGATCGATTTTTGCATTTTTAAGCAGTAAAGTTATATTTTCAGTAGTCAATCAGGAAAGTCAATGAGTCAGGCACTAGTTTGACAGCTTGGCTCTATAAAGAAACAGAATCGGTGGCGCAGTGGCAGCGCTCTTGCTTCCCATTCAGCTCTGTCTAGTCGCATCCGGGTTCGATCCCCTAGACCCACTTTTTGCATGTTTTAAGCAGTAAAATTATATTTTCAGTAGTCAATCAGGGGGATCAATGAGTCAGACACTAGTTTAGCAGCTTGGCTCTTTAAAGAGACAGAATTTGAGCCTGAAAATCTAGCTTTCAGCTTATCTAGCTTTCAGTAAAACATGCAAACTTGAACTCAATGCATACTGAACATATTTCCTACATTTAGCCACACCTCTTCTCATGCGATCCCCTAGAAAACTACGACAAATCGGTGTGGCATTGTGGAAATGGTTTCTTCTCTCATCACTCTTCTCGCATCGTTGCCATGCTCACTTTTGACAAAAAAAGTTTGTTTAAGAAGCAAAAAAGAACAACAAATCTAAGATTTAACCAATGTTTAGATTTTAAAAAGCTTTGGAATACGGTAACTTTTAGAAGATTTTGATGTACTTTAGGAAAAGCTACCGTACTCCAGTTGTCTCTGAAAAAGTGAATGTTTAGATCAATAGTTTATGAATTAGTTAGCTTAGAATTTAGTTAGCTCTAACTAGGCTAGATTTTCTAAAAGATGAGCTCTATGAAAAGCTACAGTACTTGTCATTTCTAGAAAATCTATTGTAAGCTCTGCAAGAGAGCTTACAGTAGATTTTCTAGAGTAAGTCTCTAGAGTAAATCTTTCAGGACAACTTTTAGAAAACATCGAATTCAATCGATTTCTTATCGATTTCTTTTCAGGTATCAACTATTGCTGTGCCGAATTCAGCTATTATATTGATTGTGGAGCTGAGAAGAAAGAAATCCATTGGACTTTTCAACAATGTCTACAGAAACGCGGCAATTTCATCACTCGAAACCTCATCGGACCGTTGATCAGCAATTTAGCGATGGTTTTTGGATAGTCTGGGGGATTTGATTTTTTTCAGATTTGCATATATTGAAATTTATTTGATATAAATAGTTCAAATTAAAAAGAAATTTAACAAAAAAGAAGAAACACGAGAAGATTTAAACTTTCAAAAACTTTTTAAGACTCTAAAGATAAGGGGATTGTTGTGGGAAAGATTTGTGTACTGATTCAACAATTGTTAGTGATGATCAGAAGAAGATTATTGTATTTAAATGATAACAAGATCACTAGAGAAATGTATATGCTTTATTTATGGGCGAATAGAAAGCGAATCAGCCAAATCAACCGCATATAACATATTGCTACAATACTTTCACAAAAAGAGAAAGAAAACTAAAAATAGTACAGTAAAGTTAATAGTACAGTTAGGGAAACAGTACAGTTAGTACAGAAATAGTACAGTTAGGAAACACGGGTACAAAAAGATTAAATATAGGGCAGATTTGACATGGCAATAAGATCTAATTCGTTTACAGATACTTTCAATTGAACAGACGAGAAGATACCAGACGGGAGCTTATTCCAAGTCCAAGACGGGGCTTATTCCAAGTCCAAGACGGGGCTTATTCCAAGCCCAAGACCGGAACCTATTCCAAGTCCAAGACGGGAGCTTATTCCAAGTTCAAGACGGGGCTTATTCCAAGTCCAAGACGGGAGCCTATTCCAAGTCCAAGACAGGGCTTATTCCAAGCCCAAGACAAGGCTTATTCCCAAGCCCAAGACAAGGCTTATTCCAAGTCCAAGACAAGGCTTATTCCAAGTCCAAGACAAGGCTTATTCCAAGTCCAAGACAAGGCTTATTCCAAGCCCAAGACAAGGCTTATTCCAAGTCCAAGACAAGGCTTATTCCAAGTCCAAGACAAGGCTTATTCCAAGTCCAAGACAAGGCTTATTCCAAGTCCAAGACAAGGCTTATTCCAAGTCCAAGACAAGGCTTATTCCAAGTCCAAGACAAGGCTTATTCCAAGTCCAAGACAAGGCTTATTCCAAACCCTACTAATACGGTTCGCAAAAGAATGATAAAGGGAAAGATGATGGGGATGAGAACCGACCCCAAATTTGATAAGGATGACTACGTGAACTTCTATAAATTTCCACAATTTTCAAGAGGCTCTGAAATTCTGGATGCGACTTAGGGTGGAAAAGAATTTTATAGAAAAGATTTTATAGAAAAAATAAGATCAAAGTAAATACGGCGATATAAAAGGGGTTTTAAATCAAAATCAAAAACGATAAGTCTAGTCTCATAATTTGGAATAAGAGAAGAAGGGAAACAACAAGGTTTAAACTTTCAAAAACTTTTTAAGACTCTAAAGATGAGGGGATTGTTGTGGGAAAGATTTGTGTACTGATTCAACAATTGTTAGTGATGATCAGAAGAAGATTATTGTATTTAAATGATAACAAGATCACTAGCGTCAACTTATTAAAACTTGAGAGAGATCCAGTGCAGCAGAATTGTTGAATCGAGGGTTGAATTTGAGGGATCCAAATAGAGAGAGCTTGGTTTAATTTGCATAATTTGATTAAAAAAACGATACTTAATTGCATAATCTCTGATTAATCACTGGATAAATGGAAATTAATTAATTTCCCTAGCATTCAATTTCTCCTTTTCTTTTTCCCTTTTTCCTCTAGCTTTTCACCAAAAAAAACTACCTTTTAAAAACTCTTAAAGCAGTGACAAAGAGCTTTCAATGTTCCATCATCGAGAATTTGTTTCTTTGCTAGCTGTTCAACATCATTGATAATCGTTGAAAGCCTCATCATTTCGTTCTAGTCGCAGCAATGCAAGACTTTTCAAAGCCTAAACGTTGATTGAATTGGATTCCGAGAAGAAGAACAACACCTTTGCTCCTTTGCCTTTGCAAGAAGATCAACACCTTTGCTCCTTTGCCTTTGCAAGAAGATCAACACCTTTGCTCCTTTGCCTTTGCAAGAAGATCAACACCTTTGCGCAAATCAGATCCGGGTGCTTTTTCAAAAGCTTTTCTGCCTCTTGAACAGCTCTTTTCGAGTTTCCACTATCGATTAATTCTAAAAGTAAAAAAGGTTTAAAATAAAACGATAATGTTTACCATAAAGTGGCTTTAAGAGTCTCGATTTAAACTCGAAGAACTCGAAAAGAGCTGTTCAAGGTGCGCCAAAAGTTCCCGTACTTGTATTTTCTGCATTTTTGATAATTTTAGATAAAAGATAAGATCTAATACGGTTCCAATACGGTTCTTTTTTTTGATCTAATACGGTTCCAATACGGTAAGAAGTAAGTAAGAAAAGTAAGTAAGAAATTCGTAAGTTTAAAAGTAAGAAATTCGAATTGTGATTACATGCGAACATGCGGAATATTTTAATCGTGATCCTAAAAAAATCGAAAACCATTTACATGAATTGGGCAAGCTCAATAAAGCTGGAAAATGGATTCCACATTCACTAACCGATGCAAGCAAAGCCATCAGAGTTCTTTGTTCAAGAAATTTGCTTCGAATCTCCAAGAATAGTGGATTTTGGGATGCAATTTTAAGCTCTGATAAGAAATGGATTCATTATGACAATATTACAAGGATAAGACAATGGCTTGACCCGGGAGAAATTCCAAAGCCAATACCTAAACCTGATTTTCACGGAAAGAAATTTATGCTGTCGGTTTGGTGGAATACCCGAGGCCTGGTTCATTTCGAAGTGTTAATTTCTGGTCAGACTGTTGATGTAAATCTTTACGTTCAAATCTAAAAACAGCAACTGAATCGCATGAATCACTTTGTAACGTATTTGGGAAAGATGTTATCACTGTTCATCAATGTTAAAACTGGTTCAAAAGATTTCGAAAGGTTGACGGAAGAGTGGAAGATCTAGAACGAGGACACCGCTTACAGGCTGTGGCAAACAACGATTTAAAGCAGATAATCGAAAGTGATCCGATAAAGACTACATGTGAATATGCGGAATATTTTAATTGTGATCATAAAATTGTGATCACCACCGAAAACTATTTGCATGAATTGGGCAAGCTCAATGAAGCTGGAAAATGGATTCCACATTCACTAAGCGATGCAAGCAAAGCCATCAGAGTTTCTTTGTTCAAGAAATTTGCTTTGAATCTCCAAGAATAGTATTCGCATTTGTATGCTGTACGATTTCAAACAAGAAAAAAATCTCAATAAAGCTGGAAAATGGATTCACTAACCGAAAAAAACTGTTTTAGAAAACGTTTCTGGTCAATTTATAAGTGCAACACTATTTAAGATTTGTTAGTATTGAAAATCTTGTATTTTCTTTGAAATCTGATCAAATTCACCGTGACATAGCTATCCAAAAAAAGAATGGCAATTGGAGGGGGGAGTTGAAACTAGTCCAAATCTCGAGTGGATGAGTGAATGAATCACGTAAGACGTAGGAGTCAAGCAGAAGAAAAAGAAGAAAAGAAGAACATGATCAGGTTCTTTTTCTCTTCCCTTCCCTTCCCTTCTCTTCCCTTCCCTTCCCTTCCCTTCCCTTCTCTTCCCTTCTCTTCCCTTCTCTTCCCTTCCCTTCCCTTCTCTTCCCTTCTCTTCCCTTCCCTTCCCTTCTCTTCCCTTCTCTTCCCTTCTCTTCCCTTCCCTTCCCCTTCTCTTCCCTTCCTTCCCTTCTCTTCCCTTCTCTTCCCTTCTCTTCCCTTCTCTTCCCTTATCTTCCCCCTTTTTGGTCCTTTCACGGGTGCGGTTTTTCAATGGATTCTGAGAAAAGGCCAAAAAGAATCAGTCATTCGGGTATTCAGTTTGATTTCACCTTTTAGAATCCTTAATTTTTACTTGATTCTGAAACTTTTAACAAATTCATACCATCTCTTGAATAATCCGTTTTCTAAAAGGCATTTTTAAAAAACTACTTTAATTGAATTGCTATTAGTAGTTAGCTATTAAGCTATTAAGCTATTAACAGCTATTAATAGCACCAATAGTTAGCTATTAATAGTTTTCATTGAATCAGCTCAATTTTGATATCATTAGGCTAAATTTAGCTAAATTAGCAGCTAGATTACGGTAGCTTTCTAAAGTAAATGCTTTCTAGAAACTGATTTCTTTTCTTTTCTTTTCTTTTAATGAAAACTACCTTCATTGAACTGCTAGTTTTCATTGATTCAGCTCACTTTTGAAATCATTCGATGTGGAATCACAAGCCTCAGTTAATAATACAAAAATTAGGCTAAATTTAGCTAAATTAGCAGCTAGATTACGGTCGTTTTCTAAAGTAAATGCTTTCTAGAAAACGTAGCAAACGAAAATCTTTCATTTTTCATTTTTCTTATATTAATCGGGGTATTAATCGCGGCCGAGTGACAATAAAAATTATTTTTACGGCAACCACCTGTTTTTTTATTTTAATATCGTTGATTTTATTATAAAAAGAATAAAAATCACCCGGCTAGAGTGATTTGATGGGTTTACAAATTTTTGGAGACACTGCAAGGCTTGGAGAAGAACAAGATCGTCACTCACGTCACAAGATCGTCAGACACCTCAGCACAGTCTAGATCGATTGAGTTTTAATTGCAGATAAATTTAAAAACAAAATAAAAAGCACAAAAAACAATAAAAATAAATTGTTAATCTACAATTCTTCCTCTTGCTCACTTTCATCTTCGCTCAAGTACAGCAGTTCCTCAAATCGGCTTCCTATCTTATCAATTTCCAGCGCATCTTCTGGATCTCCCTTCTGGAGTCCAGTGACTGGATCTCCTCCACCGTAGGACGTCTTCAGCGCTTTGATTGACACAATTAGATCTTTTTTTCCATTTGTGGTCGCTTGTGGTTTTAGTTTTCTCAAATAGATGCCTTTTAGCTGAGGTGTCTGATGAGTGACGATCTTGTTCTTCTCCAAGCCTTGCAGTGTCTCCAAAAATTTGTAAACCCATCAAATCACTCTAGCCGGATGATTTTTATTCTTTTTATAATAAAATCAGCGATATTAAAATAAAAAAAACAGGTGGTTGCTGTAAAAAAAATTTTTATC